CCCAGCTCCAACTCCTGCAACACCACAAGCTCCAGCACCAGTAGCACCACCAGCAGGAACAGCTCCAGCGCCTCCAGCTCCAACTCCTGTAGTACCACTAGCTCCAACACCAGCAGCACCTCCAGCAGGAAGAGCTCCAGCGCCTCCAGCTCCAACTTCTGTAGCACCACCAGTCCCAGCAGCTCTAGTACCTCCAGTACGAGCACCTCCGGGACCAGCGGCTCCAGTACCTCCAGCAGCTGCAGCAGCACCAGGACCTCCAGCTCCAGTAGCTTGGCTCCAGCGCCGAGCAAACCACTCGCGCAGCTGCGGTGGAGAGAGTGGCTCCCGCCGGGACAAGACACCCGTAGGACCTCCAGAGGACAAAGGTACCTCCAGGCTCAGCACGCTCAGGCTCCACACTCTCAGGCTCACCACCCCCAGGCTCCGCACTCTCAGACTCAGCAACCCTAGGCTCAGCACCCCCAGGCTCCGCACGCTCAGGCTCAGCACCCCCAGGTCCCGCACCCGCAGGCTCAGCACCCCCAAGCCCCACACCAGCAGGCTCAGCACCCCTAGCAGTACCAGAGTCGACAACTACCTCGACAGGCTCGACAGGGTCTACCTGGGACACACTTGAGGGTGCAGGACCCTGAGGGGGGAGGGGGTCTACCGGAGGAGGACCTGGTGCTAGGAAGAGCGGCGGGGGGGGGGGAGGGGGGGGGGGGGGGGGCAGTGCGGTAGGGGAAGAGACGGTAAAAGGGAACCGACTCGTCAAAATTGACGTCCTGAGAAGTCAGAACACGGTGCGAGGTGGGGTGGTAAAACTGCCAGCCAGGCGCGTTAGGGGGGGAGTCAAGGAAGATGCATGGAACAACAGCACGGGAGGACAGCTTGTCCGCGGACGAATCACGGACAATAGCTCGAGATCCCCAGACACGGAACACAGACGCATCGCCAACCTTCCCCATCCACCGCAGAGCAGGTGTGGTCTCCGGAACGGAAACACGGGGCTGGAGGTTGAGCTGATGCGCAGCGTACTGAACCGCGAACGACCACAGAAAACGGGGAGCAGCCGCATGGATCATGGACGTACGAGTGACGTCCATGACCATGCCAATGCGGCGCTCAGCAATCCCATTTTGCTGTGGGGAGGCCGGAAGCGTGAACGTCTGGCGGATGCCCTCCGCACGACAGAAGGTCTGCACAAGGTCGGAGGAAAACTATCCACCTCTGTCAGAGTGCAGACGTAGAACAGGAAGGTCAGAGCCGAAACTCTCGCCGAGCTGGCGACGGGCAGCGCGGATCCAGTCGATCAGCACCTCAGTGACCTCACCCTTGCGGCGCAAGGGGAAAACTGTGTGGTGTAACACAAATGGTCATCAACGACCAGCAGAAAGTAGCGCTCGTGACCCTGTCCACGGACGCGGGCTGGGCCCCACACGTCCATGTGGAGAGTCTGCAAAGGAGCCTCCGTCGGAGGGAACTCGGAGGAGTGAGGAGCGGCGCACTGCCGTCCCTCGACGCAAGGAACGCAGGTAGGGGCAGGCCCCGGTGGGAGGGGAGGGAGAGACCGGGGGAGACCAGTGACAAGGACACGGGAGGCCATACCTCGGAGACGAGGCAGGGAGGGGTGACCAAGGCGGTGGTGCCAGAGGAGAGTCTGGTGTGACAGGAGACAACACGAGCAGGGGGCAGACTCCGGACCAGACCTGAACGCGGCAGCAAACACCCGACCAGACGCGGCTACCCGACCAACGCAGTAACTGGAGGGGACGCAGTAGTCAGGGTGTACAGGCTCGACCCAGGCTGACAGGTAAATGTGGCGAGGTGGCGGCCTGTCCGATTACACGTACAGTGGGTCACCCGTTGACCATCAGGAGTGAACTGGTCAACCCACACGTCCTGGAGGTCAGCTCCACTCACCAAGTTCGTAGAGAATGAGGGGAGGTGGAGACCCGACAGTGAGCCAGTCGGGACCGCTAGACACGGCAGAACCGTAGAGGAGTGTGCAAGGACTTGGCGCCCAGAGGGGTCCGCCAGGGAGACAGCAACTGGCCGACTGAGCGGCGTGAGTGTGGTGGAGTCGCGAAAGAAAGAGCGGGAAGCACCGGAGTCAAGAGTGAAACTGTGCAAGGCCTCATCAGGCGCAGTACCTGAGAGAGCAGACTCACCAGCACCTGGAGCAGCAGGCTCACCAGTACCTTGAGCAGCAGAGTCGCTAGCACCTAGAGCAGCAGCCTCTATACCTGGGTCAGGCGGCACATACAGGTAACAGTCACCCTCAGCACTAATAGTCACAGCATACATGGCAGCAAGGATAGCATCATAATCAAGATCAAAGATAGCAACACCAGACTGAAGCAGATCACAGCCCAGCGAGGGAGCTCAGTAGCGTCAGGAAACTGTGCGCGCCAGGCGTCAGTCAGGCGACCGAAACAGCGCTGCGTAGCGTGCGGCAGCCCGCACGTCTCCCCACGGCACTCGCCGGTGCGGAGAACGTAAGCGCAGGGACCAGCACCCCCAGACCTCCCACGCCCAGCGTACCACTCACGAAGCTGCTGGGGCGACGGGGCCTCACGGGAACGCGGCTGCTGCTGGCGCGGGCCACCGCCAAAGCCTCCACCCTGCACGGCTCCACCCCGACCAGCACCACCGCCGCCCACCCCCACTGCCGCTGCCGCCGCCGCCTCCACCTCCACCGCCGCCACCGACGCCCCCACTCCCGCCTCCACCCCCACCTCCACTCCCACCCCCTCCACCTCCTCCACCGCCACCACCGCCGCCCCCGCCGTCCCCTCCACCACCCTTGCCCCCATTGCCCTTGCCGCTGCGGTGCCTCCCACTAGGAGCAGACGCAGCCCCGACCGCCTTGGTGCCAACGAGGTCGACAGCAGCAGCAGAAGCAACACAGGGCAAAAGGGGAACGGGGGAGCACCCCTCAAAGAAAGGGGCGCGAGGGTCGTCGCGAGAAGCTCCTACAGGGACTATGCCAGTCTCAGCTGCAAGGAGGCGCTCCTCGAGCAGGTTGACGGTGAGCTCAGTGGGGCAAAGGGAGAGAATGTGGTCCCTGACTGAGCGGACAGGGAGACGGGTGACGAGGTAGAAGAGGGTGATGTACATGGGGGTGGGGTTCTTGGCGCAAAACTCGGAGGGAAGCGCAGCGCGGTAGCGGGTGTCACTAGTGCGGAGGTGAGTGATGAGGTCAGCGTTTGTGACAAACGCGGCTAGGTCAGGGAACAAGTACGGTAGCATGAGGCGGCTGAGGGCAGCAAAGGCAGGGGAGGAGTAGCGTGCAACAACAGCATCATACAGAGACTTTGCAGTCTTGTACTGGCCAAACTGCGCGCGCTCAGCAGACGGCAGGTGACTACGAACAGCAAGGCAAGCAACAGCGTCACGAGTAGTTCACTGCGAGCGAACCGTACTGTCAGCGTCGGCAGCAGGTGCAACAGAGGCACCGGACGTGTGATCAAACAGCGAGACTCCGTCCCTGGAGTCGCACTGAAGATAGAGCTGCAAGTCATCTACCCAAACCTCAAAATCGACCGCACGGCCCTCAGCATCGAAGGTAATCAGGACTAGCCATGGCGGCAGTAGCAGCAGGGCAGGGCGGCGCAGCACGGCAGGGCGGCGCGGCTCGGCAGGGCGGCGCGGCTCGGCATGGCGGCGCGGCTCGGCAGGGCGGCGCGTCTCGGCTAGGCGGTGCGGTGCGGCAGGCAGGCAGGCGCAGCGACGCGCTTGGCAAGGCGGGCGCTTACCAGGGGCGGGTGCAGGGCAGGGCCGTGAGTGGCGGGTAGGGCAGGGCCGGTACAGGGCGGCAGCTGGGCAGGGCCGCTACGAGGCGGCGGTAGAGCAGAGCCGTGACGGGGCAGCAGCAGGGCAGGGCCACGAAGGGGCAGCGGTCGAACAGGGCCGCGACGGGGCGGCAGCAGGGGAGGGCCGCGACTGGGCGGTTGCAGGGCAGGGCCGCGACGGGGCGGCTGCAGGGCAGGGCCGCGACGGGGCGGCTGTAGGGCAGGGCCGCGACGGGGCAGCAGCAGGGTAGGGCCGCGACTGGGCGGCTGCAGGGCAGGGCCGCGACGAGGCGGCGGTAGGGCAGGGCCGCGACGGGCGGCTAGGCAAGGCCGCGACGGGCAGCTAGGGCAGGCCGCGAAGGGCGGCGACAGGGCAGGGCCACGACGGGCGGCTAGGTCAGGGCCGCGACGGGCCGTTAGGGCAGGGCCGCTACGGGCCAGGAGGGCAGGGCCGCTACAGGTGGCAGTAGGGCAGGGCGCGCGACGGCGCTGGTGAGGCAGGCGCGAAGCGCGCTTCAGGCAGGGCAGGAAAAAAAAAAATCTATCGTGGTGGGCCCTAAAAAAGAACGTTCCCACTAGGGAACCTGCTCTGAAACCATGTTAGAATTAGGAATGAAGAATGACTAGGAACACAGCAGTACAAGGTTTGTATATCAAAACCTAATTGGGCTGTACCCCTTATGGAGTGCCCCATTACAGCCTAGAGCATAGTTCTGACAGACTCATCTCAAGTTTTGTCCCATCGTTCACTCCTCTCAGGTACTGTGCACGTCCCATTGCATGCCTTGGGACTTGCCTAGACAACCGTTTTCACGCCAATTGGATGACTAAGGGCACTCTCTCTAGGCTTTGCTTGAGCTCACCCTGAGGTATGTGCCTTCTTTTTCCCCTTCCTCGTCCCTTTCTCAGCCCTGACCCCCCCACTCTCACCGGCAGGTCCACCAAGCAACATACAATGCATCGCTCCCCGCTGCTGCACACCAACGCCAGGCATACAACAGCAGCCGCCAACTTGTGCGCCAGCTCCCTACGTATTTATTACTATGCACTTGTGATTCAAGAAGCATGCATACACTCCCAACTCTAGTACAATTTTGGCACTTCAGGACCAAAATCAAGCTCGTAGCCTCACAACATGTTTTATAAAACGAGCCCTTACAATTGTATCACTAAATACATAACCTTTATCACCCAACCCTGGATTCTTCGATACCAATCACGTGACTAGTCATATGCCCGTGCACGAATGCAGGGAATGGAAGGGAATGGCAGGGAACGGAAGGGAATGGAAGTGTATGGAAGGGAATGGAAGGGTATGGAAGGGAATGGAGGGGTATGGAAGGGAATGGAGGGGTATGGAAGGGAATGGAAGGGTATGGAAGGGAATGGAAGGGTATGGAAGGGTATGGAAGGGAATGGAAGGGTATGGAAGGGAATGGAAGGGTATGACAGGGGATGGATGGGTATGGCTGGGGTATGGAAGGGTATGGAAGGGAATGGAAGGGTATGGAAGGGAATGGAAGGGTATGGAAGGGAATGGAAGGGAATGGAAGGGAATGGAAGGATATGGAAGGGAATGACAGGGTATGGCAGGGAATGGTAGGGGATGGAAGGGAATGGCAGGGTATGGAAGGGAATGGAAGTGTATGGAAGGGAATGGAAGTGTATGGAAGGGAATGGAAGGGTATGGAAGGGAATGGAAGGGTATGGAAGGGAATGGAAGGGTATGGAAGGGAATGGAAGGGTATGGAAGGGTATGGAAGGGAATGGAAGGGTATGACAGGGGATGACAGGGGACGGATGGGTATGGCTGGGGTATGGAAGGGAATGGTACACTTATGCTAGGGAAGGAAAGGTATGGCAGAGTATGGCAAGGTATGGCAGAATGAGGGACGGGCTTGGCTGGCGTATGGAAGGGTATGGGAGGAGATGGAAGGGTGTGGCGGTGTATGGCAGCGGATGGATGAGTATGGCATGCGATCATCCAAGGGTACGGTAGGGGTTAGAAGGAGAGAGGGAGAGAGGGGGGAAATGAGAGGGAGCACATGGAGAAATGATAGGGAGAAGGGTGGGAAATGAGCGGGAGAAGGGGGGGGATCGAGAGGGGGAAGGGGAGGAAAAGAGGGGGAGCATGGGAGGAATGAGAGGGAGAAGGGGGGAAAATGAGAGGAGATGGGGGGAAATGAGTGGGGGGGAAACGAGATGGAGAAGGAGGGGGAATGAGAAGGAGCACGTGGGGAAAGGAGAGGGAGATGGGGGGAAACGAGAGGGGGAAGGGGGGGGGAATGAGGGGAAATGAGAGGGAGGTTATGTGTGTCAAAGTATATATATGCTATAAGTGTTTAGGCTGTAGTGGGGTAGCCAATATGGGGTACAGCCCCTTTTAGGGTTTCATACTTGTACCCAACCCTTTCATAGTTCATTCATTCCTGCTACTAGATTCTGACATGGTTTCAGAGCACTAGGTTCGTAGGACCGTCTTTTTTTCGGGCCCACCTACTGTTGCAGTTACCGTGCTACCCCACGTGTTGTCCTGCACCTGCTTGCCTGCCTGCCTGCCCTGCCTTGTGACGTGCTGCGCTGCGCGCGCCGTCCTGCAGCCCTCGCGCTGCCTCCTGCTGCCCTAGGCCAGCGCGCCGCCCCTGCAGGCCCGTAAGGCCAGCGCGCCGCCCCTGCAGGCTCGTAAGGCTCACGCGCCGCTCCTACAGGCCCGTCAGGCCAGAACGCGGCCCCGCCCTGCCTCTGACGCGGCCCTGCCCTGCCTTCAACGCGGCCGCGCCCTGCAGCCAACGCGGCCCTGCCCTGCCTCTAACGCGGCCGCGCCCTGCCTCTGACGCGGCCGCGCCCTGCTGCCGACGCGGCCCCGCACTGCCTCTGACGCGGCCGCGCCCAGCCTCTGACGCGGCCGCGCCCTACCTTCGACGCGGCCGCGCCCTGCCTTCGACGCGGCCGCGCCCTGCAGCTGACGCGGCCCCGCCCTGCCTCTGACGCGGCCGCGCCCTGCCTCTGACGCGGCCGCGCCCAGCCTCTGACGCGACCGCGCCCTACCTTCGACGCGGCCGCGCCCTGCCCTCGATGCGGCCGCGCCTTGCAGCAGACGCGGCCGCGCCCAGCCTCTGACGCGGCTGCGCCCTGCCTTCGACGCGGCCGCGCCCTGCAACCGACGCGGCCGCGCCCTGCCTCTGACGCGGCCGTGCCCTGCAGCCGACGCGGCCCCGCCCTGCCTCTGACGCGGCCGCGCCCTGCCTCTGACGCGGCCGCGCCCTGCAGCCGATGCGCCCTGGTGCAGCCGCCCCTGGACCCTCGAGCAGCTGCCCCTGGACCCAGAGCAGCCGCCCCTGGCTCCTACAGCAGCCGCCCCTGGTGCAGCCGCACCTAGACCCTCGAGCAGCTGCCTCTGGACTCAGAGCAGCCGCCCCTGGCTCCTACAGCAGCCGCCCCTGGTGCAGCCGCCCCTGGACCCTCGAGCAACCGCCCCTGGACCCAGAGCAGCCGCCCCTGGCCCCTGAAGCAGCCGCCCCTGGTGCAGCCGCCCCTGGACTCCGTGCAGCCGCCCCTGGACCCCGCGACGCCGGCCCTAGACCCGCGACGCCACCCCAGGACCCCGTGCAGCCGCCCGCCGAGCGCCGGCCCTGCTCGCCCGGTGAGCACCTGCCTTGTTAGCGCACTGCCTGCCTGCCTGCCTGTCTGCCTGCCTGCCTGATTGCCTACCTGCCTGCCGCGCCTGCCCTGCCCACGCTGCTGCTGCTACTACTGCCACTACCACTGCTACTGCTGCTAATGGCGGTGGCCAGATGCAGCTCCAGCGACGTCCGCGCGAGTCTCTCACGCCCCAGCAGCTTCGTGAGTGGTACGCTAGTTGGGGTTGTGGCGGTAGCCGTCGTGGCTGTCGCCCTGGAGCTGGTCAGTCAGGAGCAACTGGCAGTGGCCAGCTGCAGCTGCAGCGGCATCTGCGCGAGACACTTACGCCCCAGCAGCTTCGTGAGTGGTACGCTCAGAGTAGAGGGTCTTTGAGTGCCGTTCGCTGCCCGTACGTCATTCGCACAGGTCATCGTACTGGTCAGGCTTGTGGGACGCTTAGTCACATACAGTCCCGCTGCTTCGCCTGTCTGAGCGACGCCTGACGTACCGAGTTTGGCGACGAGGCTGAGCTTCCCGACTGGGTGGAGCTGCTTGGGCAGAGGGTAGATATATTTGCTCTTGACTATGATGTTATTCTCACTACCATGTATGCATTGCCTACTAGTGCTGACCGTGCCTGTTGCACAAGTATCGATCCCGCGTCCCTTTCACTACAACACCCACTGTGCTAAGTTGTTACGCAAAAGATCCACTAGCTATATGTCATAAACAGTGCTAGTTTGGTTTAAACCCTTACAAAAAAGAGTGGTGCTTGCCTGGTACCCTTACAGAAAGAGTGAAAGTAGCTGGTTACCCTTATGAGAAAGATTGGTTCAAATCTTATCCAGAGGCCTGGATTCAGCGCTCGATAGTCGATGCACATGCGCAGGCCTCCGTTCTTTTTTGGCGTGAATAGTATCGGGGCGGCGTATGGTGACGTGCTCGGCCGGATAAAACCTGTGCGTACCGCCTGACCCAGGTATAGAGCCTGCTGCTCTCGGTGCTGGTGAGGCTGCTGATCTAGGTACTCGTGCGTCGCCTGCTCTAGGTGCTGGTGAGGCTGCTGCTCTAGGTGCTAGTGCGTCTCCTGCTCTGGGTGCTGGTGAGGCTGCTGCTACTGCGCCTGCTCAGGCCTTGTACACCTTCACACTTGACTCTGGTGCTTCTCGCTCCTTCTTTCGCGACAGCACCACCCTCACGCCGCTCAGTCGGCTGGTTGCAGTCTCCCTGGCAGACCCCTCTGGGGGTCCAGTCCGTGCGACCTCCACCACTGTCCTCCCTTGTCCTGCTGTCCTGTCCGGCACACTGTCGGGTCTTTACCTCCCCTCGTTCTCTACAAACTTGGTGGCGGGTTCTGCACTCCAGAACGCGGGTGTTCACCAGTTCACCCCTGCCTACGAGCGTGTGACACACTGCACGTGTGCTCAGACGGGTCTTCACCTGGCTACCTTCACTCGGCAGCCAGGATCGGGCCTGTACACACTGACCACTTAGTCCCCTCAGGTAGCTGCGTCTGCGTCTGCGTCAGGTCAGTTGTCGGCCCCCTGCTCGTGTCGCGCCTTGTCACACCAGACCCTCCTTTGGCACCACCGCCTTGGTCACCCCTCGGTGCAGCGCCTTCGCAGCATGCACCGCCGTGTCCTTGTCTTTGGTCTTCCCAGTGTTCTCCCTCCCCTCCCACCCTCGCCTGCTCCTCCCTGTCTTCCCTGTGTCGAGGGGCGGCAGCGCGCCGCTCCTCACTCCTCCTCGTTCCCTCCCACAGAGGCTCCTCTGCAGACTCTCCACCTGGACGTGTGGGGCCCAGCCCGCGTCCGTGGACAGGGCCACGAGCGGTACTTTCTGCTGGTCGTCGACGACTACACGCGTTACACTACGGTCTTCCCCTTGCAGCGCAAGGGGGAGGTCCCTGATATTTTGATCCCCTGGATCCGCGCTGTTCGTCTCCAGCTCAGCGAGCGGTTCCAGTCGGACTTTCCTGTCCTGCGTCTGCACTCTGATAGAGGTGGTGAGTTCTCCTCAGACCTCTTGGCAGCCTTCTGTGAGGAGCACAGCATCCGCCAGACGTTCACGCTTCCGGCCTCTCCGCAGCAAAATGGGGTTGCTGAGCGCCGCATTGGCTTAGTCATGGAGGTCGCTCGTACCTCCATGATCCATGCGGCTGCCCCCCATTTTCTGTGGCCGTTTGCGGTCCGCTACGCCGCGCATCAGCTCAACCTCTGGCCCCGTGTCTCCTTGCCGGAGACCTCGCCCACACTGCTGTGGACGGGGAAGGTTGGCGATGCGTCGCGTTTCCGGGTCTGGGGTGCTCGTGCCCTTGTCCGCGATACCACCGCGGACAAGCTCTCCGCCCGCGCTATTCCCTGTGTCTTCCTTGGCTTTGTCCCTGACGTGCATGGTTGGCAGTTTTACCACCCCACCTCGCGCCGTGTCTTCCCCTCTCAGGACGTCACGTTCGACGAGTCGGTTCCCTTTTACCGTCTCTTCCCCTACCGCACTGCCCCTCTCCCCCCCCCCGCCACTCTTCCTCGCTCCAGGTGCTCCCCAGGTAGACCCCCTCCCCGCTCCCGGTCCTGCTCCTTCAGGTGTGTCTCAGGTAGACCCTCCCCCCTTGACTGCGCCGGTTGAGGTCACTGGTGACTCAGGTCCTGCTGAGGGTGGTCCTGCTCGGGGTGCTGCTTCTGGGGGTGCTGAGCCTGGGGGTGCGGAGCCTGGAGGTGCTGAGCCTGGGTGTGAGGAGTCTGGGGGTGCTGTGCCTAGGGGTACTGAGTCTGGGGGTGCTGCACCTGGAGGCGCTGAGGCGTCTGGTGAGCAGTCTCCCTAGAGCGGCTGTCTGCGTAGTCGCTCCGCTGGTGCCTCGCCGCTGCGCTCTCGTCGTCGACTCCCTCTCTCCCCACAGCAGCTGCGTGAGTGGTACGCTGGCCGTCAGGGTCGCGCTGCTGGAGCTAGGGGCCTTGCTGCGGGAGGCGCTGGTGTTAATACGAGAGGAGCCATGGATGGCGAGAGAGTTAGGTAGGGTCGAAAAAGTTGAACTAGAAAGAGAAATGTCGAGGTACAAAAGAGAGATGGTTGGAAACCCTAATTGAACCTAGGGTGTGTTCAGTTTGTTCTAAGAGCTACAAAATGAACCTAAAATGAACCTGAATGCGTAACGCTCACTAAGCATGGAGAAATAATATAAGAACACCAACATAAAGACCAGAGCAAGCTCTAGCCTACTCCAACACACCCCCAGGCTAGGTGAAGCTCCGGAGCAAAACACCTAGCGAACCGGCACACCCCCAGAAGTGGAGAGACGCGTGAGCCCAAGCTCGCGCACGTAGAAACGGTGTGGCGCACGCAGAAGGGCCTTGGTGAAAATGTCAGCAAGGTTGGCAGCAGCGTCCACCTTGCGCAGGCGTAAGAAACCAGACTGCACCAGCTCGCGCACAAAGAAATAGCGGACCTCGATATGCTTGCTGCGGGCGTGATAGACAGGATTTTCAGTGAGATGAATCATGCTCGCACTGTCACAGGAGAGCGTCACAGAGGACTGAGAGTGACCAAGCTCAGCAAGGAGAAAGGAGAGCCAGCGAGCCTCCTGAGCTGCCAAGGTGCCTGCGTACAGCTCAGCCTCACAGGTGGAAAGGCAGACAGAGGATGAGCGAGTAGAGCGCCAGCTTATGAGACCACTGCCAAGAGTGAAACCATAGCCCTGAGATGAGCGGCGATCAGGGCGGGAGTCAGCATAGGAAGAGTCACTGTAGCCGGAGAGAACGGGAGGAACAGAGCCACCAAGAGTGAGAGCAAGGTCAGAGGTGGCGCGCAGATAGCGCAGGACGCGCTTAGCAGCCGCCCAGTGCACGTCAGTGTGGCGGCCTAGACCAACAAAGCGAGAGAGAACACTGAGGGGGTAAGCAAGGTCGGGGCGAGTGCACATCATAGCATACATGAGAGATCCAACGAGCTCAGGATAAGGCCACAGCTCAGAGGAGGGATCAGGGACGGCAGGGGCAGTGAGTTGATGGTTAGCGGGAAGAGGGGTGGAGACCGGCTTGGCCTGCGACATCTCAAACCGCTGGAGGATGGACTGGATATAGAAAGACTGGGAGAGAGAGATGGTGCGGGCAGCACGATCACGACGGATCTCCATGCCGAGGTAGTGACGAAGCTCGCCAAGGTCCTTGCACAGGAGACGCGCCTGCAGGGCCTTCTTGACAGCTGCAAGATCGGCGGAGTCCTCAGCAAGCAACACCAAATCGTCCACATAGGGATGTGCGAATGAAGAGACTGGGGTCGGAGGTGGAGGTAGAGAAGCCAAGAGAGTGAAGGGTGGAGGCGAGCTTGGCGTGCCACTCGCGTGGGGCCTGTTTAAGGCCATACACAGGTCGTTTCATTTCCCAAACCGTGCCTGGAGGGAAAGGGCGAGGAAAGCCAGCAGGGCGCTCAAGGAATATGCGCTCATGCAGCTCGCCCTGGAGGAAAGCATTGGAAACGTCCATGGAATGGATCTCCCAATTCCAGCGAGCACCTAAGTCAAGAAGGAGGCGAAGGGATGTGGGGGAGTAAGTGGCAAAGTAATCAATGCCTTCATGCTGAGTGAACCCCTTGGCACAGTAGCGGGCCTTGAAGACAGGAAGTTCGCTGGGCAGCTGCTTGACACGGAAGACCCATTTGCCTTTGACAATGGTGGCGCCAGGGGGGGGGGGAAGAGTCAATGTATGAAGTAGTTCTGGTGAATGCCTCACACTCAGCAATGATGGCAGCCATCCACTCAGTGGCATGAAAGCCCGACACAGCCTCGGAGTAGGACTGAGGGGTGGGGATGGCAGCGGTGTCGACAGAGAGAAGAGTGGGAGAATTGCTAAAGTCACCAACGGTGACACACAGGAGAGGAGAGACAGGATGAATGTTGAAGAGCTCCTCAAAGCGATCTTCAAGAAGAGTAACATTCTGAGATGGAGAAAGACGAGTGAAAAGAGCAGAGTGCTGAAAATTAGAAAGTGCGCGAGTCATGGAGCGAGTAAGGCGTGGGGAAGGGGGGGGAATGGGAACAGACGAAGGAGGTGGAGAGGAAGATGGAAGTGAGGAAGGGAGGGGAGCCAAAGAGGAAGAGGCGGGTGGGGAGGTGCCAGAGATGATGTCGGAAGGGGGGGCAGTAGAGGCTGGCGCAGAGGGAGGGGCGGGAAGGGGCGGGATAGGAGGGGGGGGGGGGGAGGGGAGGGAAGGACAGACGGCGGCTGATCGAAATCAGACCAGTGAAGAGAGGGGACAGGAGGGGCGGGTGGGGGGGAATGGAATGGGGATTGAGTCTCATCGAAAATGACGTCCTGGCTGCGGATGAGTTGGTGAGAGGAAGGGGCATAGAAAAGATAGCCAGCACAGTCAGAGTTGATGCCAAGGAATGCACAGAGCTGCGTCTTGGGAGCGAGTTTCCCACCCTGACAGGACCGGTCTGCTGGATTGACAAGAACATGGGCGACACACCCCCAGACCCGAAGAGGGCGAACAGAGGGCTGGCGGCCATTCCAAAGCTGGAAGGGGGTGGTAGTAGGGCGAAGAGGATGAGGGCGGAGGTTAGAGAGTAGAGTGGCATGGAGGAGAGCATAGCTCCAAAGAGAGTGGGGAGCAGAGGCATGGGTGAGAAGGCAGCGAGTGATTTCCATAAGATTGCGATTGCGACGCTCGGCAACCCCATTCTGTTCTGGTGAGTGAGGAAGAGTGGAGGTCTGGCGAATGCCATGAGAGGCACAGTAAGAGGAGAGAGAATGATTAAAGAATTCGCCACCACCATCCGAGTGGAAGCGCGTGACAGGACGCTTAAAGCGTAGACGAGCCTGCTCAGCCCAGCGAATGATGAGGGAGGGAGCTTCAGATTTGGCATGGAGGGGATAGACAGTGGCAAATCGTGAGTGGTCATGAACCAAAAGCAGAAAGTAGCGATGACCCTGACGAGAAGCAGTAGGTGAAGGACCCCAGAGGTCCATATGAACAAGGTCAAGGGGTTGGGGAGAGGCAGAGGGAGAAGAGGGATGGGGTGACTGGGATAATTTGGCCTGGACACATGGGGTGCATGGAGGAGCAGGAGAGGGAGGAAGGGGGGGGAGAGAGGAAGGGAGGCCATGAAGAAGCTTGGAGGAGACCATACTGCGAAGAAGGGGAAAATTGGGGTGGCCAAGCCGATGATGGAGGAGAAGGGTAGGTTGAGTGAGAGAACGACAGTCGCAAGAAGGAACGGGAGGGGCGGAAGCGGAAGAGGCATGATGGGCAGAAGGGGGGAGAGAGACACGAAGAGTGTAGAGGCGAGTGATAGGGGAAAGGGTAAAGCGTGCAAGATGGCGGTTGCGATGATAGAGATCACAATAGGAGTCACATTCAGGAAAGATAGCTCGCACACAAAGACGTTGAAGAGCAGAGAGAGAGAGAAGGTTGTGGCGGCAGGAAGGGACATAGAGGCCAGTCACAGCACCAGAGGGGGAGGCAGGACAGGGAAGAGAGGAGGTAGCAGTGCAAGTCATGGTCATGGTATCCCCAGCTCCTTGAATGGAGAGGGGATGGGGAAAAGAGCGAAGCACACCAGCGTCACAAAAAACAGAGTCAGTGGCACCACTGTCAAGAACAAACTCAAGAGTGTGAGGGAGAGAAAGAGCAGCAGCTGTGGGACGAAGATACTGAGAATCATTGCCATTAACAGAAGGAGCAAACATCATGGAAAAACGAGGGTCCATAAGGGGAGAAGCCCCCAGAATGCTATCCTGACTAGGCATAGTCACACTGAGAGCAGATGTTTGAGCACTGGTACCAGAGTCGGCAACCACAAGTACCGCCTGGGCAGAAGACTGGCGACGCTGACGAGAGAGTTGAAGCCAATTGGGTGGGCGACCAGTGTTGCCAGCCAGGAACCAGTCATCGGTGAGCTTCTGGAAGCAGGAGGAGGCGGGATGATTGGTGCGACCGCAGGGCTGATCCTTGCGGGGCCCCTGGCGAATGATGTAGGTGCAAGGAGGAAAGGTGTTGCGAGGGCGAGAGGAAGCAGCGGCGACAGTGGAGGTGGGGAGAGGGGGGGGGGCGGAAGAGGGTGTGACAGCGGCGGCAGTAGGAGGGCAGCTGCGGAGGTTGAGCTCTGCCTGGAGGAGGAAGGCAGAGACACGAGAGAACGATCACTGGTCGGCAGGGCGCTAACCATACAGAGTGACATGAACACTGTATTCAGGAGTGAGGCCTGTGAGGAGGAGGGCACCGCACACATGATCGGAAAGTTCAAACTTTTGAGAGGCAAGTTGGGAGGACAGCGTCTGCACGCGAGCGATGTAGTCCGCCATGGTGGTGAAGTCAGCAAGACGAAGAGAGGTAAGCTCGCGTAAGAGGGCAATGACACTGATAGGAGTCTGCGGCTGGAAGCGCTCGGTAAGATAGCCGAGAAGGTCCTTGGCATAGCGGATGTGCGAGCACTGAGGGAGAAGAGTTGGAGGGAGGCAGGCAAGGATGACCTGACAGGCACGTGCGTTGGCAACATGCCAGTCAACGAGAAGGCCAGAGTGAGATGGAGCAGAGGAAATGGGAGTAGACGCAGAGCGAGGAGAAGGGGCAGCGAGGTGCTCAGTGAGGCGCTTGCGGGTGCTCTCGAGGGACTCAGCAAGAATACGAGCTAAGTCACGGGCAGCAGCATTGTCAGGAGCAGCCGTGGTGGTGGCTTGCGCCGTGGTCACAAGCCGCTCAGTTTCAGCAATGGCAGCACGGAGGCCATCAGCATAGGGGTCAGAGGAGGAAGAGGTGGGTCCAGAGGGAGAGGTGGGAATGGCGCCAGAACCACTCTGCTGAGTGACAAACCATAGGTTAAAGCCACTCACGAGAGTGCCAGACAGCGTGCGCTCAAGACAGTTCAGCCAACTGGGGAAGTTGACTGCACTGCCATCGGGCGCAAGCTAAAGGACCAGCAGAGGGAGGGAGGGGAGGGCGAGAGAGGTCGCCATGAGGAGGAGGAAACAGCTGCAGAGCAGATGTGGGGAGAGGTATAAGAGGCGGAGGAATAAGGGCGGGGTAGTCTGCTGCTGAGCCGCTGAGGGGAGAAACAAGAGGAGGAGGGAAAGTGGCGGAGTAGTCTGCTGTCGAGCCGATGCGGGGAGAAACCAGAGGAGGAGGGAAAATGGCGAAGTAGTCTGCTGCTGCGCCGATGAGGGGAGAAACCAGAGGAGGAGGGAAAATGGCGGAGTAGTCTGCTGCTGCGCCGATGAGGGGAGAAACCAGAGGAGGAGGGTGAATTGGGAAGAGTGTGCAATTGAGCAGTTGAGAGGAGGATGTTGAGGAGGAGGGAAGGTGTGGAGGAACAACAGCTACACAACACAATCAGCAACCAGCTGCAGCAGATGAAGAGAGAAAAGATGTGGAGGAGGGGTGAGATAGTGGAGAGGGAACTAGTGGGAGAGAGGGGAGGAGGAGGAGGGTGAAGGGGCGGATTGTAGGAAGGGCAGGGCGCGCCACAAGGAGCTACGAGCCGCAGCAGATGGGGAGAGAAAATAGGAGGAGGAAGAGGTGAGGTATTGGGGGAAGCACAAAGGAGAGAGGGAAGGAGGAGGAGGGTGAGAGTAGGGGCGGATTGAGGAAGGGCAGAGCGCACCGCAAGGAAGGGCAGGCACACACGCTGCTGGACGGTGCTTAGCGCGCGCGGCGGCAGGAGCGCAATGCGCGCGCGAAGAGACAGGGAGGGGGGAGGGGACGGCTGAGCGCGCTACAGGCGGAAATCGCCGTACTATCGTCCGAAACGTGCGGAGGAGGAAGCGGGATGAAGAGGGAAGGTGCGGACAGATGATCTGAACGGTAGGGAGGCGCGCTTCGGACTAGATTACGGCACCCGAGCGAGTATAACGAAGAGAACCGCGCGGATGCTAAGAGTGACGGGAAAGAAACGAGAGGAAAGGAGAGAAAAAAAAAAATCGTCTAGCTAAGTAGCGCGGAATACGGCCTAAGGGCCGGAGATTATCTAAGAAATGCGGATGAATATGAAACGCCTAGGACTACGCTCTGAATACCATGTTAAAACGAGAGGAGCCATGGATGGCGAGAGAGTTAGGTAGGGTCGAAAAAGTTGAACTAGAAAGAGAAATGTCGAGGTACAAAAGAGAGATGGTTGGAAACCCTAATTGAACCTAGGGTGTGTTCAGTTTGTACTAAGAGCTACAAAATGAACCTAAAATGAACCTGAATGCGTAACGCTCTCTAAGAATGGAGAAATAATATAAGACACCAACATAAAGACCAGAGCGAGCTCTAGCCTACTCCAACAGCTGGAGCTGGTGACTCTGCTACTGGAGTTGTTTCTGCTGGAGGTTCTGGAGATGCTGAGGGTGCTGGAGCTGGAGGTTTGGGAGCTGCTGGTGGTGCTGGAGTTGGAGGTTCTGGAGCTGCTGCGGGTGCTGACGCTGAGGGTTCTGAGTTTGCTGTTGCGCGGTCTCCTTGGAGTAGCCGCCTTCGTCCGCGTGTGCCTCTCACCTCACAGCAGCTGCACGACTAGTACGGTCACCGTCAGGGTCGTGCTTCTAGAGCTCGGGGCTCTGCCGCTGGAGGTACTTCTGCTGACGTTACTGGAGCTGGGAGTGGTGCTGGTCCCGGAGGTGCTCGTACTGGAGGTACTGGAGCTGCTGGGGCTAGAGGTGCTGAGCCTGAGGGTGCTACTGCTGGAGACCCTGGGTCTGGGGGTGCTGTTGCTGGAGACACTGAGACTGGAGACCCTGGGACTGGAGGTGCCGGTTCTGGGGGTGCTGCTGCTGGTGGAGCTGGTCCTGGAGGAGATGGCGCTCAGGGTTCTGGAGCTGCTGGAGCTACTGGGGGTGCTGGAGCTGCTGGTGCTGGTGGCACTGCACAGCCCCGCCTGTTCTTTGCTCCACCGTCTCCGTCGTCTCAGCCACCGTCTGACTCTGTGCTTCACCAGGTTCTTAGTCCCCCTTCGTCTACTGGTCTTCCGTTACAGCCTGGCTCACCGCTGCCTGCTCCTTCTCCTTACACTGAGCAGACAGGGGGTCTTACTGAGCGTCGTGAGCCTGCGTCGCGTCCTGTCTCGCCTGTCCGTTCTGGTCGTTCCAGTCGTCGTGTTCCTCGTTCGCGTTAGCCGGCTGTCACCGGTACCCACCTCGTATTCCGTCGTCCTTCCTCTCCTCCGCAGCGTGTTCCCCTGCCGTCCCCTCCTGCGTCTTCTTTGCCTACCGTTCCTGAGCCTGAGTCTGACCGCACCCGTGCTACTCACCCTACTGTCACGCGTCTGCTCGCCACAGTTGTCACTGACCCGTCGTTTGAGTCTACTGCTGCGTCTGCCTTAGTCGCTGAGCTTGTTGACTTTGCTGCTGCCTGTCGTCTAGACTATGCCGCTAGTCTGGTTGCTGAGTCTGAGTCTGTCTGTCCTCCGTCCATCGGGGGTGAGTGTGTTCTTAGCACGGACGTCCTTGAGGACAGGCAAGAGGACCTTGAGTGTCTTGCAGCTGCTGCGCCTCATCTCGTGTCCATGCTGCTTGCCCCTGAGGGAGACCCGGATGCTCCAGACATCCCGACCCCGCGCTCTTACGCTGAGGCGATCTCGGGTGAGTACTCCTCTCAGTGGCAGACAGCCATGGACGCAGAGATGGCATCCTGGAAGTCCACAGGCACCTACGTCGACGAGGTTCCCCCTCCTGGGGCGAACATCGTCAGTGGCATGTGGATTTTCAGGGTGAAGCGGCCGCCAGGTTCTCCGCCCGTCTTCAAGGCTCGTTACGTTGCTCGAGGCTTCAGTCACGAGGAGATCTGGCTGCGCCGCCCACCTGGCTTCACTGGGTCGTTCCCTCCTGGTACCCAGTGGAGCCTCCGGCGGCCAGTCTATGGTCTCCGCCAGGCGCCGCGTGAGTGGCACGACACACTGAGGACGACACTTGTGGCTCTTGGGTTTGCTCCGTCGACTGCTAACCCGTCGCTGTTTCTGCGCACCGATACTTCGCTGCCGCCGTTCTACATCCTCGTGTACGTCGACGACTTGGTCTTTGCCCCTGCTGACACTGAGGCTCTCGCCCTGGTGAAGTCGGAGCTGCAGAAGAGACACACGTGCACAGACCTGGGTGAGCTGCGCAGCTACCTTGGCTTGCAGAACACCCGGGACAGAGCACGCCGCACCATCACACTGACTCAGTCACACATGGTGCAGCAGGTCCTTCAGCGCTTCAACTTCACCTGGTCCTCGGCACAGGCCACTCCTCTGGCAACAGGTCACTCGCTCTCAGCTCCACCTTCGGACGAGTCCGTAGAGCCGAGTGGTCCTTACCCAGAGCTAGTGGGCTGCCTCATGTACCTGATGACCTGCACTCGTCCTGACCTTGCGTACCCTCTTGGCCTTTGGGCTCGCTACGTGGCTCCTGGTCGGCACCGAAAGGTGCACATGGATGCTGCTAAGAGGGTACTATGCTACTTGTGCAGTACATCGGGCATGGGGCTCGTGCTTGGAGGACGGAGCGACGTTGTCCTCACTGGGCACTCAGACGCTTCTTGGGTTGACGACCAGGCTACGCAGCGGTCGTCACAGGGTTACACCTTCAGCCTTGGCTCTGGCTCTGTTTCTTGGCGTTCTACACGCTCGTCTTCAGTTCTCAGCTCCAATTGTGAGGCTGAGATCTACGCCACAGCCATGGCTGCACAGGAGTTACGTTGGCTTACCTACCTGCTGACCGACCTGGGAGAGCGGCCTCGTTCTCCTCCAGTGCTGTACGTCGACAACAAGGCCACCATTGCCTTGTGTCAGGAGCATAGACTGGAGCACAGAACGAAGCACATCGCTCTGCGTTACTTCCTGGCTCGAGAGTTGCAGCAGCCGGGTCAGCTTCGTCTTACTCATGTGGCCACTCGGGCCAACACTGCTGATATATTCACCAAGGCACTTCCGTCTGGTGATCATCAGCGTTTCTGCACTTTGTTAGGCCTTGTGCCCACTTTTCCTCACTTACTGCATGCTTGTTCTGCTAGGTAGAGATCACTGTACTGATGTTGTTGCATATATACCTCTGCATGTGAACTGGCCTTGTGGCCCTTTGCTTGTGCTCAGTGTGTGTGGTGACGTTGTGATCCACCCTGAGCTTGCTTTGCTTCTCTTGACTGGTCTTGTGACCTATTGCTCTCCCCCACTTTGCCTATGGGGGTGTGTCAAAGTATATATATGCTATATGTGTTTAGGCTGTAGTGGGGTAGCCAATATGGGGTACAGCCCCTTTTAGGGTTTCATACTTGTACCCAACCTTTTCATAGTTCATTCATTCCTGCTACCAGATTCTGACAATGTGGCATTTAACTGAGTGTTTAAGGGAGGAATGAGAGGGAGCAGGGGGGAGAATGAGAGGGATAAGGGGGGAAAATGAGAGGAAGAAGGGGGCTACATGAGCGAGAGAAGGGGGACATAACAGTGAGCAGGGGGGGAGAATGAGAGGGAGAAAGGGGGGGAATGAGGGGCTTCATAGGGGGGAATGAGAGGGAGTAGGGGGAGATATAAGGGGGGGAAGGGGAAGAAATGAGAGGGAGAATGGGGGGAAATGAGCGGGAGAAGGGGGGGACATGAGAGAGAGAAGGTGGGGACATGACAGGGATCAGGGGGGGAGATGAGAGGGAGAAAGGGGGGGATAAGGGGCTTCATGGGGGGGAATGAGAGGGAGAAGGAGGGGGGAGAATGAGGGAGAGCGTGGGGGGAAAATGAGAGTGAGCAAGGGGGAAAATGAGAGTCTGCAAGGGGGGAAATGAGAGTGCGGCTAGTGCGGAAACGTGGTAGCGAGGCTGTGCGATCGGGCGGCGACTGTGATGTGTGTTCGGCAGTTTGAGAAGGGAGGCGGAAAGGGATAATTGGGAGTGGGAAGGGGAAGCGGGGAGGCGGGAAGGGGAAATGGGGAGTCGGAAGGGGAAACGGGGAGGCGGGAAGGGATAATGGGGAAGCGGGAAGGGGTCACGGGGAGGAGGGAAGGGGTAATGGGGAGCAGGAAGGGGAAACGGGGAGGCGGGAAGGGATAATGGGGAGCAAAAGAGAAAATGGGGTGGCGGGAAGGGGAATTGGGGAGGCGGGAAGGGGAAACGGGGAGGCGCGAAGGGGTAATGGGGAGCGGGAAGGGAAAACGGGGAGGCGGGAAGAGGTAATGGGGAGCAGTCGTTTCTGATTACCCTCGCGACCTCAATTGCGGCTGCTGCCGCTACTGCGGAAACGTGGTAGCGAGGCCGCGCAATCGGGAAGCGTCTGTGATCGTGCGTGTTCGGCAGTTTGAGACGCAGCGTGTGTCGAGAAGAAAAGGCCCCGCCCTCGCTTGGGCGAAGTCGGCCATGCTTTTCGGAGCGCAACGGTGTTCGTTTCGTGGTTATCGGCAACTTCAGGGACTTTTATCTCTGAACGACGGGTCGATTTTCGAGAAGATTAAGTCGTCGAAATTGAAGTGTTGTTTCTGCTCTACGCAACTGCCCGTCGACAAGGCACTTGTCGAGGGGAGCAAATCGGCGTCGAAATCGGGCCTTGCGGGTCGACGAAATTGGAGAAAATGGCGTTTTGACGAAACGCTGGTCGACAGAATTTAGCTCGAACGAGGCATCGTCAAGCAGAGAAATTCTGATCGACCAAAATTACTTGTCTCCGAACATCGCAATGTGCGCAAATTTCGACCAATCGCGAAACAGCAAATTTCGACCAATCAGAGCATTTCGGAAATTGTACTCCCCAGGAGATTTCGAATCAGTAAGGAAACTGAACCTGAAACACGTTTTTACTAACAGTAAGAACGTAAACAACTCTGAACGTTGGAAACCTGAGAAGCTGCCAACTCAGGGGAAAGACACATACCGTCATACCCCGGATATACCCCCATGGGGGGCAATAATAAAACAGGTTTTTTTTGGGGGGTGGGCTTATAATCGAGTAAACTTATAAGCGTCGGCGTCTATAAAATGGCATATATATATTTTTATATTTTTTAACGCCAGACTGTAGATCTCGTGCTTGCCTTTTCAATCGAGTCGAAGTTACATGGGGTCGTCTGAAATTCTCACGCGCCCTGGGAGATACACTCAATCTGACTCACATCCAGCTTCTGACAGCTCCTGCTGACTGGAACCGCAGGGTCCGTGTGAAACAAGAAAAACAGGAATGAGAATGACTAAGTGAAAGTTGGGTACAAGAAGCAAACCCTAGAAAACTGTACCCCATATGTGCTACCCCACTCTAGCCTACAGTAGCTATGTCATATAAATCTGACACACCCCCATAGGCAAAGTGGGGGAGAACAAGGGGTCACAAGACCAGTCAAGCAAAGCAAAGCAAAAAACAAGCTCAGGGTGGATCACAAAGTCACCACACATTCCGAGCACAAGTTCAAGGCCACAAGGCCAGTTCACAAGCAGGAGTACACATATATATAAAAAAAAGGCTAGACAAACAAGAGCAGGTATATATATATGTAACAGTACAAGCAAGGTCAAGAGGTGAGCAAGTGAGGCAAGGTAGGCACAAGGCCCAGCTGAGTACAGAAGCGCTGATGGTCACAAGGCGCAAGTGCCTTGGTGAAGATATCAGCAGTGTTGGCCTCAGAGGCCACGTACGCAAGACGCAGCTGACCACGCTGCTGCAGCTCACGAGCAAGAAAGTAGCGGAGAGCAATGTGCTTCGTTCTGTGCTCCAGTCGCTGCTCCCGACACAAGGCCAGCATGGCCTTGTTGTCTACGTACAGCACTGGAGGAGAACGAGGCAACTCTCCGAGGTCAGTCACCAGGTAGGTGAGCCAGCGAAGCTCCTGTGCAGCCATGGCTCCTGCGTAGATCTCAGCCTCACAACTGGAGCCGAGAACAGAAGACGAGCGAGTAGCCCGCCACGAAACAGAGCCGGAACCAAGGCTGAAGGTGTAACCCTGTGACGACCGCTGCGTAGCCTGGTCGTCAGCCCAAGAAGCGTCTGCGTGCCCAGTAAGGACCACTGGACTCTGCCCTCCAAGCACAAGCCCCATGCCCGACGTACTGCACAAGTAGCGCAACACCCTCTTCGCTGCAGCCATGTGCTCCGGTCTGTGTCTCCCAGGAGCAACATAGCGTGCAAGAATGCTAAGAGGGTATGCAAGGTCAGGTCGTGTGCAGGTCATCAGGTACATGAGGCAGCCAACAAGCTCTGGGTACGGGCCACTCGACTCTACGGACTCATCGGAAGGCAGAGCTGAAAGCGAGTGGCGAGTAGGCAGAGGAGTGGCCTGAGGCGAGGAGTACGTGAAGCCGAAGCGCTGAAGGACCTGCTGCACCATGTGTGACTGAGTCAGGGTAATGGTGCGGCGTGCTCTGTCCCGAGTGATCTGCAAGCCAAGGTAGCTGCGCAGTTCACCCAGGTCAGTGCACGTGTGTCTCTTCTGCAGCTCGGACTTCACGTGGGCTAGTCCAGCAGTGTCAGCTGTGGCAAAGACCAAGTCGTCGACGTACACGAGGATGTAGAACGGCGGCAAAGAAGTGTCGGTGCGCAGAAACAGCGATGGGTCGGCAGTAGAGGGAGCAAACCCAAGAGCCGCAAGTGTAGTCCTCAGTGTGTCGTGCCACTCACGCGGTGCCTGGCGGAGACCGTAGACTGGCCGCCGTAGGCTCCACTGGGTGCCAGGAGGAAAAGACCCAGTGAAGCCAGGTGGGCGACGCAGCCAGATCTCCTCGTGCAGGCTGCCCTGCAAGAAAGCAGTGCTGAAGTCAAGAGAGTGTAGCTCGTAGTCACGGTGAGCATCTACGTGCAGCAGTACCCGAAGAGTGGTCATCTTCGGGGTGGGAGAGAAGGTCTGAAAGTAGTCAACTCCCTGCCGCTGACTGAAGCCACGAGCCACGTAACGCGCCTTGAAGACAGGCGGAGAACCCGGCGGTCGCTTCACCCTGAAAATCCACATGCCACTGACGATGTTCGCCCCAGGAGGGGGAACAGCGTCAACGTAGGTGCCTGTGGACTTCCAGGAAGCCATCTCTGCGTCCATAGCTGCCTGCCACTGAGAGGAGTAGGGACCCTCTATCGCCTCCGCGTAAGAGCGCGGAGTGGGGATGTCAAGTGCATCCGGGTCTCCCTCAGGGGTAAGCAGTACGGACACGAGATGAGGTGAAGCAGCGGCCAAGCACTGGAACTCCTCCTGCCTGTCCTCAAGGACGTCCGTGCCAAGGGCCCACTCACCCCCGACGGACGGAGGACAGACAGACTCAGACTCAGCAACAAGACTGGCGACGTAGTCTAGGCGACAGCGAGCAGCAAAGTCGACGAGCTCAGCAACTAGAGCAGACGCAGCAGTGGACTCAAAGGAAGGGTCAGTGACAACCGTAGCAAGGAGACGCGTGACAGTAGGACTGGCAGCGCGAAGAGAGTCCGACTCCGGGTCGGCAAGAGTAGGAAGAGAAGACTCAGGAGGAGAAGGCAAAGGGGCACGCAGAGGAGCAGTGGACGGACGCAGAGACATCCGGTGCGTGCCAGGGACAGGAGGAGGACGCTGACGCGAACCGCGACCACTAGTGCGAGCAGCACGGACAGGCGACGCAGGGCGAGACGCAGGCTCACGACGCTCAGCAAGACCTCCAGTAGGACCAGTGTAGGGAGACGGAGCAGGCAGTGGGGAGGCCGGCTGTAACTGTAACTGCGACGGGAGAGGCTGTGGACACTCTAAGGGAGGAGGAGGACCAGTAGAAGGCGGGAGACCAAGAACCTGCTGAAGGAGCGGAACGAAGTACGGCCGAGGCCGCGCGGCGACTCCAGACACAGCAGGGACAGCACCAGCACCCGCAGGGGCAGCACCAGCACCAGTAGCAGCTCCAGCTCCAGAACCCCCAGCAGCACCAGTAGTACCCCCAGCAGGACTGCCTCCAGGACCGACAGCAGTAGCCTCCGCGCCAACACCCGCAGCAACTCCAGCTCCAGAAGTACCCGCAGGTCCAGCAGCTCCAGAACTCCCAGTACGAGCACCTCCGGGACCCGTGGCACCAGCTCCCTCAGAAGCAACAGAACCTCCAGTACCCGCAGCACCTCCAGCTCCAGCAGCTCCAGCAGCTCGCCTCCAGCGCCGGGCAAACCACTCACGCAGCTCCTGGGGAGAGAGTGGCTCTCGGCGAGAGGGAGCACCCGGTGAACCGCCAGGCACAGCACCACCAGGCGTAGCACCCCCAGGCTCAGCACCTCCAGGCGTAGTACCCCCAGGCTCAGCACCCCCAGACCCAGCACCCCCAGGCTCAGCACCCCCAGGCGTAGGACCCCCAGGCTCAGCACCCCCAGTCGTAGTACCCCCAGACTCAGCACCCCCAGGCTCAGTACCCCCAGGCTCAGCACCCCCAGGCGTAGCACCCACACGCTCAGCACCCCTAGAGTCAGCACCCCCAGGCTCAGCACCCTCAGCAGCACCAGAGTCACCAGCGACCTCGACAGGCTCAACAGCGTCTACCTGGGACACACCTGAAGGGGCAGGACCCTGAGGGGGGAGGGGGTCTACCGGGGGGGGACCTGGTACAAGGAAGAGCGGTGGCGGGGGGAGGGACGGAGTGCGGTAGGGGAAGAGGCGGTAGTAGGGGACCGACTCGTCGAACGTGACGTCCTGGGAGGACAGAACACGGCGAGAGGTGGGGTGGTAGAACTGCCACCCTGGGGCGTCAGGGGGGAAACCCAGG